GTAGAATATGTAGTGTAGATGTCCTCTAGATTTCCATCTGAGCAGTTCAGGAAAAAGGAGACAAGTTAGAAACAAAGCAAAACCAAAACTGCAAAGAAATGAATATAATGTCTTTCTCAAAGGGCAGGCATACAGTAAAATATCAAGGAATCAGCCATGTATCTAACAAACATACAGTACACATGTCTGATCGGAAATACAGTACGTGTGTCTCTTATATACTTATAGTAACTTCAAACGTTTCAGTTAATTTATCATGTCCAGTTTTTCAGATTTTTCTGCAAAGTGACATAATGAAACTTAAACAGAAAATGAGATGATACTATTCTATTTGTTATTGGTGCGCTTATATTTTTCGTAATGAAAATAGTGTAAAATACTCATGAGCAGAACCGGTCATGGTAATATACAGTATACTGTTTCTACACTATTTCAAATATCTGATATATGTACTGTATACTGTATATTGCAAGGGCATAACCAAAGACATTCAAGTTCTGTGAGGAGTTCCTTATTCAGCTGTCTATCTGAAGGCTGATAGTGTTTGTATTGCGGTATATATTATGTATAGATATAAGGGTTAAACTAAGTTGTTTTTGTGCTATGATGTTGCTGTGGTAAACAAACTGGGCTGTGGACAAATGGTAAAATGTGCAATTGTACCCTTTATCAATGGAGGGATGATAATTAGAGGTTAATACCACACAGACATTTAAGAGGAAGAGAGTAACAAACAACACATCTTTGCTTTGGCCTTTGTGGGCCTTCCTGTTCATTTTAAATGTCATCTATAGTAAATCTTAGAAAGTCGAGATGTCTTCTAGAAAAATATTCCAGTTTAAAATGTAGTCTTCAATAATTTTGTTAAATAAGGTAAAAACAGAGAAGGTTAGTAGAAATTCATAGCAGATGGTAGCATTTCCTCGGCCTGTTAAATGTCGGTTTTGTTTTTTCTGTTACATGTCACAAAAGTAGAGCATTCCACGCATGAGTAGTAACAGTAGCAAATTCACTGTTATACTGTACATCATGCACACATCATTCACTTTAATGGTCAGATACGTTGAGGCAGTAGCATGGCAGATTAGTACCTTGATTAGTAACGCTATGATTTTTTTTAACACATACATAGATGATGCTCAGAACAAAGAAGGTCACGACAACACTGATCCCACTCGCCACACCAATGATCACTGCTGCATTGTGGGGCTCGCTGTTTCTACCTGAAATGACAGATACTGTCAGATACTGTTTTCTCATCAATAACGGAAACAAGTACATTATTTCCTTACAGGTGCAGTAGCTGTGAAAGAACAGTGGTAATTAAGGCACCGGCTGTTGTAACAGTACATGAACAGAGGTTAAAATACATCTCATTTATACAACCTAAATCAAAGCTGTTCTCTCAAACTATTCTCATCACTTTCCGTCAAGGTTGAAGACATCCATCATCTTCTTCGGAATAGAGGTTTTCATACAGTACTTTGTGCTGCAACACTAAATACTGCAAGTTAGCGGGAAAAGATCAAACAAAACCATGGAGGGATTTTTACTAAGTAGAAGATAAACATGGATACCCATGATAAATGTTCAGTTTCATTACTCTTAAATAATGTATTCTGTATAGAAGTATAGAAGCTGTATAGAAGAGGAACATACAGTAATACTAGCCGCTCTCAAACTGCACAGTGATTCTGATGCTTTTTGAAACCTTGCACATTTAAATATTCCATAAACTGGCCTTCCTTGCAAAACTAATAACTTGCACTTAGAATGCAGATACCGAATTCACAGGCTCAACGTGAATGGTGGTGTTTTTGCCATACTTACAGACATCTTTTAAAGCCAACCAATGAGACTCTTTGCTGACTCGGTTGCTGGCCTTGCACACAATACTGCTGTTCTCTACAGTGACAACGATCTCCAGGGCATCCGACTCTATGTAGTCTCGTCTCACTTCAGTGCAATGCGTCTGCTGGCAATTGTAGGACACAGAATTGTCTTGACCGACAGTGCATGTAGCAGAGATGTTGCAGCGCTCTTCACTGGCTGAAGCTGACTTCACCTTTAACTCTGGTTTAATCACAGAATCTACAATGCAACAAGTGGTTGATTAATTTGATACGACGGGTATATTGGTTTGCTTTGAATGTTTTCATTGCTGGGTGACCTGACCACTTGCTGATCAATGCCATGACCCCAGTACCAGCACAGGTAGAATAAGGACTGTGAACGCTGTTTTACATCACACCCACTTGAGTCTGATAGTCTCACTCTCTGCAAGACTCAGACTCCTACTGTATTAGCATCCATTTAAAAGAACAGCTGCTTGCAATGGTGTCTCACACTTACACAGGCTCACAGGTCCCTGCAAGGTCATATGATTCCCTTTTGGGATTTGGTCACACAGCAAAATTCAGATCTTATCAGATAATCATATTACAAGAAATGATAAAGGTTAACCCAAGTTAGTGGAAGAGTTGTAGTCAATCCTGAAGTGATACCCCATGCTGAAATGTTGTCAGAGCTGTGTCACTGAAAGTAACAGACACAGTGAAGGAATAATTTCTGGTTGCATATTTGTCTCAATGGTCTATTTTGATTCTAGACTTCATATTGTCTACTGAACTGAAGTCAGAACAAAAACATATGTCCACAGAAACCACATAACTGTAACATTTATAAGGTTAAAACATGTACCTTGGGGGATTAATCTGTAAGTTACAATGCTTTTGTCAGTTCCTTCTTTGTCTTGTATTATTGCTGTGTAAAATCCATTATCTGATTCCTCCAGTTTATTAATTTGTAGCAAAAAGTTTGTCTTAAAAAACATCACTTTACTCTCATAGTGAGGAAAAATGTCGAGATAATCAATCTTGAATGTGTATTCCAGTATAGTTTTAGAAGTGTTGAACCTCCAGTAAAATTTTCTGTTTTCTGCTGGCTTCACTCCTTCCACATCCAGAAGGTAAGGCTTTCCTTTTAAACCATAGCGGTCAATTACTTGTTCAGATTCAGTACCTGGAAATGGAAAAACAATATTAGCTTTATACATAATTTCAGCCTTAAATGTCTATACTGTATATAGTGTATGTATAGAGAGAGAGGATCAATGTATCGATGAACATTATAGATTGAATAACCAGGCTGTCTTAAAAATAGCAGCAGTCCTTCAAATTTTTCATGTCTTCATGTGGTCAGTGTCATTTTTTAAAGGTATTTACTCCTTCTTGTGTGGTGCATACTTTTGAAATTCCAAAACTGTTTTGCCAGTTGTATGGTTGAATAATTAAAGCATACTTACATGATACAAGATATGGGTAACTGTTTCCAAAACATAAACACTACAAATGATTAGTTCTGCATAGCTTAAGAAATGTACAAATATCAGAATAGGAGAAGCACTAATATTGCTACTTGTACTGCAGCTATTTATACAGCTTGAACACATAAAATAGCCCCTAATAGATCAAGATATTCTAGTATAAATAGGAATATTATATCTTCAACGCAAATACTGTATCAGTGAAAAACTTTCTGTAATGTTGTAGCTGGTGATTTGTCAGAACCCCAGTGCAAGAGACCGGAGAGGGAAAAGTGAAGC